TAATATTTTGTTTGGTAAATAGTGCATTAATAGTAAATATTTTTAGGAATAATTATCTATTAAGAAAATACCTCGGAAAATTCTAGCCAACCAACCAAATACAAAATTGTCTTTGTGGGTATTTTACTACACTATGTAAAAATAAAAACAGTTATCTTAGTAATCTTTGTTAGTTACATTGCAAACCATTGGCAAATATTAATATTATCATGCATTAGTCATTTTATTATTATAAAAATAATATACTATACTCCAATAAAGTAAATGCGCATTTATTTACATGGGTATGGCAGCTACCTATTATACCTACAAACATGGTTATTCCTATAAAGTATAAAGGCGCGTTAAAGTATAAATACAAGCGTTGTTTCAATATTATAATATTATACTTTATATTCTATAGGTTAAACCTATCTGCTGTATTATACGCTTGCGTTTGTATTATTGCTAAATATTATCATTATATATAAGTTATATAAGTTTGTTTATTTATTTTTTACTACCATTTTACTAGTTTGATCACACAAGAAACACTACGTGTACCGATTACTGATTAATTATTATAGTATATTATTATGTTGTATTCCAGACGAAAATTGCTCTTGGATTCCTATGATAGGCAGTTGTTGATAATCCTGTAACAGGTGTTCGATATCTGATTATATACCGCAGAAACACAAAGAACTAAAAAACAACATAATTTCAGTTTTTTTTTTCACGACAATCGTCAAAATAATATACTATTACGTATCGGTATCAATCTTCTGTATAACGAGCATCAGATGCTTTTAAACTCGCTTTTAAATATTATATAATTAATATAGTATAAATTATAGGTGATGCATGTTCAGTTATTATATGTGTTCAATTATTAAACAAATCAAACATAATGCAAATGTAGATCTGCTACGTTTACTTTAGAGTAAAAATATTCATGTATGTGAATCGTGGTAGGTGTCTTTGATTTATGGTATTGAGTTTTTTTTTAGTATCAGGACCTTAGGTATACTCTTGAGATCAGGAGAATAGGTTATTTAAAATTTATAATTTAATTTCTTCGATCGAAGAATCGATGCTAATTGTATTTACTCTGAATATAAGTTTATTTCTACAGCATGTTCATTTGTTATAAAATTATGTTTTCATTGCTAAATTGATAGTCTAGGAGTACAATAATATTATGATCAGTATTTTTTTTATAGTGTAATTCACTAAGTGCCCTAATATTGTTGGATTAGGAGTACACAATACGCATAATAATATAATATGTACAGAGTGGGGGCCTAATGTTTTCCATATTAATGAATATAAACGGCGGCCCATTCTGTATGTAAAACGAATTGGGTTCATACGTCATGCAAATATTTATAATTTAATTAAAATTTGAATTAATAATATTATCCTCACGTCAGTCGCTATAATGCAGTATTATTAAACTAACGATGGTCTTGGAGCACAATTTCAGAAAAATTAGACAGAAAAATAAGAATCCTAACTTAAGTAGTTTTTTTTTATTCAATCATGAAAGCCGTACGATCTTATAATTTTTCAAATGTATATTAATAATATCAAATCTGATTCTAATATAACACGATGCAGTAACTTATAAAATCGAATTAAAGTATTGGAATGGCCAAGGTGGTGTAGGTCTAGGTATGTATAGTAAACAACTAAACAAGTTGAATACATTGTATAATATTTACCTAACACATTATCCGTCAAGGACTATATTTTTTTTATGTGTAAGAGGTTTTGTAAAATCTTTGTATTTTATTAATGTTTAATAGTAAAAACACAAAAACAGATGGACAGTTAGATGATTTTTGTGGTGTTAAATTATTCGAATTTTTTCCAAATACAAAAATTAGTCACTCAATCCATATGGAAATGCTTAAATGTTTGGAAATGTTCTCGACTACCAACTAATATGCTTAAATTATTATACTTTGTAATCTATTGTTGAACATTTTTTAATCAAGTGTTTAAGTGTTCATTATATAACATTTTGATGTAACTTCACATAATCGATTTATTATCCAATATTGTTATTCACTCACGCTGTTATTGTTTTTATGGTAAAAATATTTACTTTTCAAGAGTTTATTGAAAAAAAAAACCCGTTAGTATACTAATATGTTTGTTTATTGTGTATATAATATTATATACAACATGTGTTGGTACCGGTTTTTGTTGTCTATAATCATTATAAATTATAATGTATAATAATTTTATAATATGTAATAATTGGGTTCACGTGGCTATTGATTGCAGATAAATCATTTAAAAAGACACATTAAAAATGAAGTTGTGTATACAATGAAATCATTTTAATTATTATCGATTATCATGCAAAAACATCATCAAGGTACCTTATATTATAAAATTATAATTAGTTTATTTCTGGGTGATAAAACCGATATGACGTTTATTACGGTCAGCGGATAAATCCGTTTACAACATACACTTTATTGATTTCACAAAAACGCTCAAGTGAAAATTTCACTTTGCAACAACCATAGACAACAACCTAACCTAACGACATAATAATCAACACTTGTATAGTGATAATATAAATTGTATTCGGGTTAGATACGCCGCGCTTGTTGGCCTCAGCCTTCTTCGATTTTCCGGAAAATTTCAGATTACATACATATATAATATATAGTAATAGAGAATTGGTATAGGAATCAAGAAAGTGTGTACCGCGACGTGATAACGTACCTACCTATAGTTCAGTTTTGTATAGCCTTAGCCTACATTCGTGGTTGGTGATATTGTAATTAGGTTCGTTATTTATACTATATACTATATAGTATAAAATAATATGTTGTAGGCGCGTGGCGTGTTGTACATATGGGTATTATCAGAAGTATTATCATAGTGGTGTTATCTTGCTATAATAATTCTTGTCGCTTGAATTTACCATGAAAAAAAACAAAAAAATCTTGTAAATCGGTACTTTTGTAACTATTTTTAATAATTTATATCATGATATTTTTGCTTTTAATTTTCTTGATATTATGTAACTTTTTTTTTTAAATCATAATATTTGGATGTAAAATACTTTCTATCATTTAGATTTATTTGAAATGGTGATTGAACAGGCTTATAGTTTTTTTTTAAAGTGTAGTAAAGGACCTACCCCTTGCCATTTTAATCCATTAATTTAAACTTTAAATGCTCTGTTTTATAAAAACCATTGTTAGTTAAATGTTGGATAAATATATTATTACCTGCATCACAACGACAAATAATAAAAAACTATTCTGCTTCTGATTATAAATACTATATAAATTGTAAAAATGCAGTGTTATATTGTAGGTGGGTAAACAAATTTATCTTAAAAAATGACTGAAAATTAGCGTAGCTGTTTTAATTGGATATTGTATCTACATTATTCTGTTGGAATTAATTTTTGCTGGTGATATAATACTCTTATATTATAGACGTCGTGTGCGGAAACGACAACGACCACGTGGAATATTATTTATGTTCTTTAATATCTATATGTTTTATATTAGAGAGTGTTAGCAGAGAGTATATAATAAACGCGTAAAGTATATAGTATATATAAATATATATAGTGGCCATGAATATAATAACAGGTGCTAAGTGAAAGTATTGCGTTACAGTATATATGTATATTATATGTACATATAATATAATCTTGTAATATGTATACGACGAGCGTTTCGGCGCGGGACCTCCGCCACTGTAATAGTGCAAACAAATTGGTCAGATTTTTTCTTCCACCATTTTATATTACCCCGTTGGTGTACTAGTACTTTCTTCGTGGTTTTTAACGAGGCGCGTACTTGTATTAACATTTCGGTGAAAACGTCGAGACGTTATATAAAAGGTATATTATATTATACACCTACCGCCCGCCTACAAAGCAGCAATCGTTTTATCATCGCGCCCGTCGCTCGTCGTACAGATTTTTGCTCGGTAATGGTCCGTATTATTGAAATCATTTTTTAACATCACGCATACCCTATGGTAGTACACCATACCTTTAATTCTGCTATAACTATAATATATTATTTGTTTAGAAATCCATTGACGACGTGCCTACGCTCAGTTGGAGGTATTTCGTGTATAATAAATTAATATACTGTTTACGTATAAAATATATAAACTTTGTTCGATCTTAGAGAAAGCATTGTGCGTATTATAATATGATGGGTACTTTATTTTATGTTAATCCATATTGAACATTAATTATGATAATTAATAATATAATTCTTTGTTTATAAATGGAAAACTGGCCTACATAAGTAAATTACTCATTTACACTACTCACTCGGTATATGTTTTGTTTGAAATGTTTTAAAGGGGAAAAAAACAAATCGTTCGTCCGTTTTTTTCTGTCACATAATATTATTCCAGGCTCTTGCATCTTATTATTTTTTGATATATTATAATATACATATATTAATATATTATGTATATTTATATTTACATGTTTTATATCGACACTATTATCACACTGTTGCCAAGTGAATTTAACATAAGTGCATGTTTGATAAAATAATAAGAACAATAATAATAATAACAACACGACGACAAAGCAACAAAATACATTTAAATGAGACTGATACGTCGCGTATCATTTATTATAGCTATAGTGTCATATTTGTCGTCGGCCGAGACGAAAAATAAAAGATAATTCGTTTTCTTTGTTACTCAGTTAAATTCAAAAGTGGGATATTAAAATTATGTTTAACTCGTCGACCACCGTAATAATAATGGTACGTTTTTAAATTAATAATTAAATTACGCGGAGAAAATATTACGTAAACTCGTCGCGCACCACGTTATTATTGCTCAATGTCGTTGTCGTTTTAAGAATACGTTCTTTTTGTTCCTTAGTACCTACAACTGCGATACACCTATTTTATTTTTAAATCTATAAAAATGTTAAAATCCCGCACAATTTTAATTGTGTACACGAATGAAATTTGTTTTATATAATATTTAATCTTACATTTTGATTTCAGAAGGGAGACCGTTCGCTGTTGGCGCAGTTCTTTTACGCCGACGACGAATTGAATGCCGTCGCGGCGGAACTGGACAGTTTCGACGGTAAAAAAGACCCTCAGCGGTGCACTGCTCTCGTGAACCATTTGCGACAATGTCAGGACAAAGTGAGTAAAACCTTCCATCCCCATACCCATTAACTAATACATTTTCCCCTTACAGAGCAACATTTTTTAGCACAAGGGAAAAGCATCAATCGGCCCTATTTTATAATAATAAATCTACATTGTGTATAATAAACGATATTTTTCGTTTTTAGGTCTTGACTATTTGTATTAAAATCATGGACGAGCTGATACCTGGCGAACGGGCCAGCCGTGATTTTCGTGTAAAATTTCCAGACGACGTAATTCAGGATAATTTGGCGGGGCAGCTGTGGTTTGGCGCTGAGGTAATTATGATATTACATGTTGCTATATTACGATAACCTCGTATTATTATGACTTATGAGCGGCGTTCAATGTATATTTTGGATAAAAAAAACAGTCTCCCACAACGCAATCGCATTTCGCAAAATATGTTTATTATTGTTGTTCGGTTTGAAAAAAATGTTTATTATATTTCAGTGTCGTGTGCGACCTTAAACTGCGCACATAAATCGTTTGTCGGTATTCACAGGTATATACAATATACATAGGTGCCAATATAACAATTAGGTATTTAGGTATAACATCATAAATAATATAATATAATATACCTATATAATAACCGCTATATGCATTTTTTTCTATACCTATAATAGTAGACAGTAGTAATGTAATAAATGAATCACCCATGGGTGATTGTACGCATTAACATATAACTGCGTATGAGATATAATAGGAATATCGACAAATCGGGATTTCGAAATTATTTAATTTTTATGTTATATGAATTATTAAAATATCGTAGGTAATAATCTTAAAAACTATAAGTCGATTATAAACCTAACCGACCAAACCTAAATTAGCGAGATAAAATAGTTCAAAAATGTTTTAAAAAATTGATATAATTAACTTATTTTAAATGCCAGTTTTATTGTGTAGTTTATGGTGCAATATACATTCTTTATATTATTGGTCATGTACAAAAAAATAACAATTAATTGTATACGTTAAAAACTTTACATTATAATTTATACATAAAAAAAAATACATTACTATTATAAAGATTATGATAATTAATAATAATGACTCGAACAAAATATCTATTAGCGATATCTACACGTACTTTATTATTAATTACGTATTTTCGTGTACCTGTATACGTAGTGTCTATCGGCGGGGTCGAGCATAATGAACCGGGAAGCCGAGAGCGGAGCTATGAGGCCTTTGGCCCGGGCGCTGACCAAGTCGTTGGAAAGAGTCCGAGGACTCCTGAGGGACGCGAGCCTTTGCGGCGACCAAACTCCGCCCTGCCTGCGCAACCTAATATCGTCGTTGTGTACGTTCGATCATCTGTTGGCTGAGTTTGAGTTGCGTTACGTGTCCGCGATGGTGCCAGTCAAAACCGCCCACGAATACGAACTCCAGCAGCTCGTAGTCGTCTTGTTCTCCGAGACCCTACAAAGGTGAGTGCGTCGTTCGATAAAACAAAAAATAAAACCATTCTGCAGTAAAAAATGGTATGAAAAAAAAAAAATAATATTAGTATGATTTTTATTTAGTGTAGTAGTGTACATGTTACAATAGTACATTGGTACTTCTAACTATATTGTACATCGAAACAATACTATTATGTTTTAATTTTTATTATAATATTGGTGTGTTTAGAGCGCTCGTCAAAGGTCTCCTGACCCAAGAAATGGTTGACGACTATGATCCTGCCCTCATGTTCACCATTCCTCGTTTGGCCATCGTGTCTGGTCTGTTATTTTACCCCTACATGTCACCACTGTCTCTCGACCAAAACGCCACCGACATGTCTGATATGTTCCGTCCATTTCGAGTGAGTGTTTAGTGTTTATGCCGTATGTATTCTGTATTTCTGTATTCTCATATATCACGAGCGTTCGATAAAATATGGCAATTACACCCGCAAAATGCCAGTTTAAACCGTTTGACATATTACCAATTTAAACACTTTTAACTGCGCAAAACGTAGAAAAAGTTACTCGCAGTGTCTTTTATAATAGAACGCTACGATATACATGTATATAAGAGACAATACATAATTAAATAAATAATCTAATATTTAAATTAATGCGTACTTGTTGTGTAGTCGTTATTAATGAAAATCAGAGAGCTCCTACTGACCCTTTCCGACAAGGAGCTGTCAACGCTGGAGAGGATGCTGTGTTCTTCAGATGAGGTTAAGTTCGACGAGAATTTGTCAGTGAAGAACCAACAGTCGTCGTGAGTATATTATTATGTTGTAACGGCTGTTGCATAAAATATTGTATGCTCATAAGATGGTATGGAATAATAATATTTTGTATATTCTTTTTCGTTTCAGGTGCCAGGAAACCAGTGACGAGGACTCTGAGTGTCTTTCATCCAGCACTGCAGAATTGGTAATGGACAACAGCGTTACCACTACCACTGCCTCTCCCGTAACAACCATAGAGCACTGTGGTACGAAAGGATTTCCGCCGACGCCACCGTCATCACCACAAGACTTAATCAACAACAACAGCAATAGCAACCAATGCAACCCTTCGACTAAACGTGGGTCGTTCGGATCGACAATCATATCAACGAACAATGACAGCGATCAACAGCCCAACAACGAATTGAAAAGTCCAGCGGTCAACCGGCAACAATTGCAACAATATGATTGTGGTGGTCTGGAGTCGTCATCTGGTTCGATGCCAGATGCAGATCTCACTGAGTCGCTGGCCACAGCTACGGAAGCTCTGACAGAAATCTTGGTGAAGTCGACAAACTTAGAACGTGAGATCATCAGGAACAACGGCAGTGGCACAGCTGTGGTTGTGGTGGTGGTCCAAGACGATAACGGAAATGAAAACTTGCTGTCGCCGCAGCTTCATCCTACAAAACTGCACCATGCTCCCCCAAACGTGTCGAGTAGTTCAACTCAAACAGAATTGCCATCGAGTTCATATCGGGTGTGTTGTTGCAATAATTGGAACCGATGGAAGTCGGCTACAGTAGATAATAAGAGAGACAGATCGTCCTCTGTTAGATGTCTGTCGCCGTCTAGTGGTGGAGGTGGTAGTGGTTGTCGTTGTTGTCATCACCATCACAGGAGGAAAAAGACAAATGCCACCTCTGCCTCTTCCAACCGGAGTGGTGGTAATGATAGCTGCAGTAGCAGCAGTAGTAGTGGTGAGATAAAAGCCCGAGAAAAGGTCCCCGTTGTCACTGCCGTCTCGACCAAGTACTCAAAGAGCTGGCGGGAATTGCGTAAGGCAACCAGCGCTGATGGCAAACGATCGGCTGAAGTGGTGATTTGCCGCCTCCAAACCACAAGATGTTGCAATACCGCCAGATGTGGCAGCGTTAAACCCATGTAAGTTTTCTAAGTATAAGTACTTTTTTTAGCAGGAAAAACTGACAGGTGTAAATGTGTAATTGACAAATTATGTAATAACTCTTATTCAATAAATCTTATTTTCCCGTAAATGGTTCCCGTAGGCCGTAAAGTACAAGTGTTTTTCGCTCGTGGATAAAAAAAAAAAGTGATGGGGCAGTTGAATCTTGTAAAAAACAAAGATGTTGCCCTATGATTTTGTATCCGAGCTTCTACGCTTTCAACTATACTCAAACAAAAGAACCATCTTACTACATTGAATTATTTACTTTAATAATATATATTAATAAATGTCAAAATAAAAGTTTAATAAATAATAAATAGAATGTACGTATGTAATGAAATTTTCAATTACTAAATACTCGGTAAATCGAAAACATCTATAAATTGAATTCAGTGCCCTGAATTTTTGTGGGACGACTATTAAATTTTATTATAGTCTGTTGAATATTTTAATAAAATGTTAATAACTATAAGAACTTACGTAAAATAACATATTATCTACTTAACACATACAACCTGAAGTAGATCTAATATTTAGTCAGTGAAGTTGTCTCTATTTTGATCAAGATTTAAAAGTACTGATAGCCTTATAATTTTATAATTTGTTAATACTAAAATTGTCTATATAATAAGTACTTGACTAATTGTTACTGATTATTAGAGGTTTCATGTTTAATCATTTATAGTTAATACTTACTTATAATATCTTCAAATATTGAATAGAGTATTATTCTTAAGAAGATTTATACTCGCATGTATTACTTTGTCTTACTAACACATAACAGCACATTTATGTTCAGAAAACTCTATTTTACTCTGTTATTTTTAATTTAATATTAGAGTAAATTTGATAACTCTTATATTAAAAATAACAGTGTAAAATTAATTCTTCAGTTAGGTTTTCATCTAATGCTTTAGACAGAGACAACACTTTCTAATATGGCATAATATTAATACACAAAGTATAACAACTCTGAAACTACTTGTTTGAGTTTCAATTATGATACATATAAATTTTCAAAAAATTATCTGCTCTATAATAATTAATAACACAGTAAAATTGGTACCTATGTTCCCATTTAAAATCACAAATAGTTTGGATCATCAATTTCTATAATTTACAGGGCAGCTCATAAATGTTATAAAATAATCTAAGTGTTTTAAAATATTTAAAACTGTTTCAACTGTGTTTTTAATTCAACAATGTTTTTATTTTGTAGATAACACATATTATTTATATTACCTATACAATTTCAGACTATGGAATTTTACTAATAAATATAGATATTAAGTGAAACTCGCCTCAAATATAGTAGACAAAGTAGTGATATTAATTGTGTCATTTCATTCTTTAGGATCAAGAAACATGAAATGTGTTCAAGCTGTTCTAGTTGTACGACTTCATCTGCAGATGAGAGCGACGAGAGCGTGACTGACAGCACATCAACAGACAGTTCCTGTAATTATTCGTTACGCCGACAAAAAGCTCGTGCTAAGTTTAGGTGAGAAATAACTGTATGTTTAATTATTGCATATAATAATTATTATGGTTCTGGTTTTTTAGATCTGATGAAGACTTATTGCATCGGCTGTTTGTATGCATATCAGGAGTGGCTGACCAACTGCAGACAAACTTTGCTGGAGACTTACGTAATATACTTAAAGCAGTGTTTCTCATGTCTAATTCTAATTGTGGCAACGATAGTCAACAGAACTTGGGTTTGTTTAAAAATGTGCTATTGAAGTGTTTGTGCTTATTTTTTATGATTCATTGAAAATTTCAGAAGTAATTCCTGTGATAAACAACCCACCTCCAGTGATTGATATCGAAAATGGTGAAGAGGCGCTTGTTTGGAGAGGTGAAACAATAATGAATGATGTGTTATCCACGTCAACAGAGACGCCACCACCTTGGATACCTGACAATGAGGCTCCTGTATGCATGTCATGCAAAGCCATGTTCACTGTAGTTCGAAGACGTCATCATTGTCGAAATTGTGGAAAAGTACTTACATTACTTCTTCTTAATACTAACATAAAAAACTTGTTCTATTTCTTCATTGATTTTTTGCTGTAGGTATTCTGTTCTCGGTGCAGCTCAAACTCTGTTCCTTTACCCAGATTTGGGCATTTGAAGCCAGTGCGTGTGTGCAATCGTTGTTTTATCTATCAGGTTACGCCGTTCACATTGGAGCATTCAATTGGACCAGTTCCGATTGTCTTGCAGTCTTAATTAATTATAGTCCATCAAGTTTGTGTGGTTCTCCTCTCCCCTCACCCAAAACCCTCTTCTCCCAAACATTCCAAAGAAATAAAGAAACATCTTTATTTTTTGTGTTACCATTTTATCCTAATTGACTGTTTGTTTCTTCACTTTTATTCTTTAGCTTTATTTACTTTTTTCCCCTCGATAAATATTCTGTTCCTAACAGTGATAATATTAATTAATTGTATGCAAATAAATCGATGTCTTGAACAACATTTCGTTGTTGATTCTACAATTTAACATTAATGAATGCATTTGTTATTGTATTTTATTTTATAAATTTAATTTAATGATGATAATATTTTAGGTAAGAATCATAACATCGATACTGATTATACTATTATTAGTGTGTATTATAATGTGTTGTCAGTTAAAACAGTTCTATTATAAATACATATATATATATATTTTTTTTTTTTTTGATACTAAGCTTTGATATGCTCAATAATGTTTTTTGCCCACATTTAGTCCTGTTGTCTTGAACTTTATCACTTAAAACCTCTAAAAATCATAAAGTTATTATAATCTAATTATTATTATTACATATTATCATATTAATTGATAGAAATACAGTTTTTATTATTATCATTATTTTTAGTTAGGTTATAGAAAGCAAACTTAAGTTTTCTCTATCAATCATTATTTAAATTATATGTTTTAAACATACCAACAAACTTTGTTCACTCGATCTATCAATATTGGATTAATGATCAAAAATGGCTGTGGATTTTATTCTTAATGATCATTGTTCTATAATATCAATACACTATTGTAAGTTACAAAGTAACATGCATTAAGCATTTTTAAGTTTGTTTTTTTTTGATAATTACTAAGCTTAAGTACATTGGTAAAAAGAAAAACTGATTGAGAATAATAAGAATGGATAAATTTCACTATATTATACTGTTCATGATTCCATACAAAATCTACGTCCAACAATATAATGTGCATCATATTAATCGGTGTAAATTGTATATTTTTAAAAAAAAAACCATTTATCATGATTCATTAAAAACATTCTTTTATTGTTAAACTAAACCTCTGTGATAGTTTTTACCTAAAAATATGATTATTCATTTTATGTTCATAATTATTTATTAATTTAAATATTTATTATTACGCTTACAAATTATTATATCATACAACGGTAGTGTGCTGCGATTGTTGTACTGCTACAATATAGTCGAAAAATGTGAAAATAATTAATTATGTCAACAAAGTTATATTCGTCCATAAACATTGTCGCCAATCTATGTAAAATACTAATCAGCTTACAATTATATTTTAAAATAATAATAAATTAAAGGTATTATTCTAATTAGAAACTTTGTTGTAGCCAAATATTGATAAAAAGTGGTCGATTGTTGTGTTTTAATATTTGTGCTAATGACAAATTGTTAATAGTATAGAAATTGATTTTCCGTATGGTTAATTAGTAGTATGTAACGTTTGAGTATGTCTGGCAATGAGCATTTAAGTATAATATGTTAAGCACATTTTATTTAAATATTTTGTACGTGCAATACATTTTTATTTCATTATTTTTAAGATAAGTGTTTGAAATATGTGTTTAGTGTTAAATCGCCTACTCGTTTTGGTTGAAATCACTGTTCTTGTATAGTTAGTATGCGAATATGTCAAAAAAATTGTGTGTTGTAAGTCGATAAAAAAGTTTATTGTATTTTTTTTTTCTTACTACAATGATTAAAATTATTGTCAGTCATTTTTTAATTTATCGAATTTTTGATAGTATCTTATCTTTGATCCTTAATTCTATTTTTATAATTGTAATCCTTTATAATTAGTAAGTAGCAGTGGCTTAAATATGGGAGGCGCCCAGGAGGCCCCATAGTGAAATTACAAGTTCAATTAAAACACTGTATGCATATTGTGTTATGTATATACTAATATAATATACTAGATATAGTTTGTTATTGCTAGATTATATTATTATTATTATTATTATATTATACATTTTTTTACCGTACCACCAAAAACTTATAGCGGGCAATGGGAGAAAAATTAGCAGTAGGAATACCAATTTTAATAAATAATATCTAATATCTATGTGTTGGCTTATGTGATCTAACTGATTTGGGCGGAGACCAATCGGAGCAATATAAGCGGCGAGCACGCGGATGTAAAGACGATGATCTTCTCTACATCGTGGCTGCTAGGATACCTATTTCTAACCATTTATGCACTAGAGGACAGCGTTTAGAGGGAGAAGTCAGGGGTACGATATAGAGCGAGTGAGAAAAAAAACAAAATAGTAAAATGTATACAGATCCTTATGCGGGCTCCTTCACTACTTTATGTTCTTTCTCTCTCAGTTATATGGTTATATTATCGCCTAGCATTAAAGACAGGGCGAAGTGGAATGTGCTGTCCATTAGTTTATAAGTCTATGTTTGTGCCACTCTGACTTCTGCGCGGTGATGTTTATTTTCTTATTAGTATTCTTTTGAGATTGACAAATTATCAAAAAGTAATTTAATAGTATTGGAACAGTCTTGATAATAATAAATCATTTTTTTGGATCAGGGTTAATACAAAGGTATAGATAACATGTTCCGATTTTGGTCGGCATTTTTATCAGCTTTTAAAATGTTAAAAAGTATCTAGTTATAGTGAGTAGTGACATACCTAACTTCAATAGTTGGACATATGGTATCGGGAAGTTTTTTGTAGATATTGATATATTCTGTGAGAGTTCAGCCTTTTTAGGTCCCTATTATCCACCCATTATATGAGGGGAACACTCATATGGTGAGTGACCACCCATAGGCTGCACCGCGTGTTTCCGTGAATGGCAAGTCGGTGGAACCAATGGGATTTGTACAGTTTAGTTAAGGGTGTCGGTGCCGCTCATTTATTAAGGAGTAAAATGTAGGCAATTAATTCACATGTATCGGCATCGCGCGGAACGTGCATGTGTGTGAGAATGTAAATCGATATTAGTGTGAGTGAGCTATAATGACACGCGTTGATAAAGATACTACTCACGCACATGCAAAATTCAGTGCTAGACGTCGACGACTATTATCGAAGCACTATTTTGATGAACAAAAATGGTTTCACAGGAAAACTCTCATGTCTCGTAGATATGTCAGATTTTGGTCAATTTTTTTTATCTGAAAAATGAGAAGTTTCTGCAGGTCGGATTAAAGCTCAAATTTTTATTTTACTTTAAATAGTAGTAGAAAAATACGTTTGAAAAAGGACAAATATTGTGCATTTTTAAAATGCATATTCCAGTTTCTATAATTATAATTTTCAAAATCGAGCTTTGATCCGACCTACAAAATGTTCTCTACTTTTAGATAAAAAAAAAATTAACGAAATCCGACAATTGTACAGGGCGTGAGAGATTTTCCTGTAAGACATGTTTTTGTACCAAAAAACGCACAGGCTTCGATCCCCTTAAATAAAATAAAAATTGAGAATAATAAGGTGACACTTTGTGTTAAGAGAATAAATAATAATAGGGGTTTTAACTTTTTAAGGCAATAATGAGTTTGTGTATTTTACATGTGGTTTAAAAGAATAATAATAATGGCAATAATTACAATACATAACAATTTTGTTTCATCATGAGATTAATAATATTTTTTACAATCACATCGTGAGAATAATAGTTTAATTTGGTACATAGCAGCAGGGGCGGAGTGGGAACCAAATCCAGGCCGGGAGTTTAAAATTTATCCAGGCCACCCACCAACATTTTTTTTCTCTCTAAGCTCGAATTTGGTTTTTCTATTTACCTATTTGAAAACTACTTTTAGTATTATAAAAGTATTTCAATCACTATCTTGCTATTTCTTTTAACTTCTGTCTTCTAACACATTATATTAATATACCACTAAGTACCTACTTATTCCTGAAAGTCTGAAAAATAAAATTAGTAGGTATGGTTTAATAGTTGAAATCAACGAAATATTAATAATTATATTATACATTGTGTTTTAATTGTTTAGGTATAGTAGATATAAGGTAATAAACTAATAAGTAATACATATATACAATATACATACATTGTAAGCAATATAATATAATAAAAAAGATTTATACATTCATAGTAATAATTTAGATAATAGATTAGATTTCTCACCAACTGCATTTATGATAATATTGTTATCTATTTCCATGAGAATTTTATTTTCAATGGCCATAAGCATAAAAGACTCAAGATAATCATTGGTCATTGAATTTCTCATCCTAATTTTTAAATACTTCAATGTTTAAAATGGGTGTTTTATTATAAAAATAACCGACCTATTACAATATTATATTGCTTTCATTTTATTTGATGTCTATATTTATGTGCCAAATATTTTGTAATTTTATATCCAAAGCTTTAATAATTAATTAATTTAAAAAAAAAATAATTTAATAGAAACAAACATTTAGCATTAACTAATATTTTGTAAATTAAATTAAATTTAAAAAAAATCTAACAAAATGGCCAGGCCACCAGGCCATAGTATGGTCCAGGCCGTCTGGAAAATTCCCATTTCCAGACCGGCCACTCCGCCCCTGCATAGCAGGTGCACTCAGAATAATATAATTTTGGGGATTGTCGTGAGATAATAACACAGTTTTAATTTGTAAGGAATAATATTTTTTTTTGCCACCCCTACCCCGAAATTTTGGTTTTCGATAGCGTTGGAAAGTGTCCTTTTTCCGTCCAGCTTTTGGTAAAGTGGTGAAGTGGGATTCCCTAATAGTGCCAGGCGGTAAAGTGGAAATCCCAAAAAGTGCTGGTCGCACATATCACTCGTGTATCCCCTGCATAGGCGCAACTAAATGTATATTTTTGGGGGTTTTCACAAACTGTAAAGAATTCCTAGACCCTTAATACTGTATAGGTATTAAGGTATACTAAGTGTAACAGGAAGGGGCGGATTGGGGAGAGATTCCGGCCCGGGAAAATACAAAGTATACCGGCTTACCAATTTACCAAATATTTAATTTTAGCCAACATAATATTATTATTATGTATTACTATTTTAACATAACTACACGTTTGGCAAGATATGAAATTTATAAAACTTTATTCGTAGTGTATATACATCGATATCAAATTTATTTTTATTTTTGAACAGTTTATGTTTACACATTTATAATAGTCCAAACTCCAAGTACTTATGTATAACACAGTAAAAGTGAATAATTTAAATTACTAATGTTACGATTTTTGTATTTAATAAGAAAGGTTATTACCTATTCAATAATATTTAATAATGCGTTTTTAGACTTAAATAAAATCTTATAATTTACTTCCACTTAATATACCTGATAGGTAAATTAACAGAATCAACATGCAAAATGTATGTGTTTTTTTTTATTTTCTAAAAAATGTTTTACTGTGGTTTATTCATAATAACATTATGTAGGTACTTCAATTCTAAACAATCAGAAAAATTGTATAGTCTTGTTTTCCTTTAGTATTATTATGTAATATAATATTGAGTAAAATATTTTGTCTCCGTCTTAGTACAATCTAACAAATTATCGTTCACTATCTGTATTCACCGATTAGCCGAAACGATATAATAATAATATTTAGCTGTAGTAACTAAATATTATAGAAATTATTGTATACCTACGTAATGTTACTTCCCTATTATTCAATAATTTATAAATTCGCCTAAACGATCGGTTAATTTCTGACCCAAATGATATATGCTTTACTCAAGTTAATTTTGGATTATTCGCCCAAACGAATGACGCTCAAATTTTTTACACCCGAAATACGTGTACTACTGTATTAGTATACTGAATTAAAAAGTGTATAAAACAATTTTCGGAAATTTAAACACTGTTCAAAAGTTACAGCAAATCATGGTTTTTGAATATTACAGTGCTTACTGCTCAAATCAGGTTGACTTTTTCTATTTTCTACTTCCACGGGATGTCAAGTAAAGTAGACTTTTTCCGAAGTTTGTCGTTACCTAGAGATCACCCAATGTGGTTTTACATAACATATCAAGGGTTGTTTTCGATTTTAACTGTCCTAACTAGTGACCCCGCTATATTACATTTGCTGTTTTTGCTTTTCGAAAAATACTATATTTTTGCTTTCTGTCTCTCATCGTTGCGCCATCATAGATTGCCTACCTGATGTACCTACTATTGCATACTGTCCGCAATCCAATTCGTATTATCTTATTTTGAAAAATCGGGAAAAAAATGCAAATTTACTGGGCTGGTACCTAATAGGAATTTAAGAATACATAGTTATTTGAAAAAGCGGCCCACCGGGAAAACTCCCGAATTCCCGGTGGCCCAATCCGCCCCTGGTAACAGGAAGATCAGAAAAAAAAATTACGTTGCTTAAACGTTTTTGCTCAGTTGGCGAGTCTCTTTCTACGGCGAACAGGTATATCTTCACGGGACAACCGGTTTACGAAAATATAGATGTAATATTAATTGTATGTATTCTGCAGTATAGTTTCTGTTAGTTTAGTATAGGTACCTCCTACCCATATATAACTGTGGTATAACTATCTATTTAAAGTAGCGGTTTTATCGTCGATAATCTATAAGAAAATAGCAATTTTATGTCATCAATTCCAAATAAATTGTAGTTGAAAAGTAGCATCTGTAAGCTATCACCACGTGTATTTGACACTGAAAAGATATTATTAGAATGATTATTGACTAAAAGCACACGCTACACGACGAAAGTTAAATATTATAGTGTAAGTTTGTCATGAACAATCATTGCATAACCGGATAACTCTACCACATTTAGACCAACCCAATTACACGACGCCACGACCACGTGTTTACGTAACTGGCAGCCGTTCGCTGGGTATAAAAACGATATGCACACCGTACTAAATGACAGTCATTTAGTTTTATTAAAGCACAGACGAATATTATAATCATAATCATTATAATATCGTTTACAGTACACTCTGCACCTATAATATATACTCATCGCTGCTGCAGTAGTTTATACTCATTTTTATATTTTTTTTACACTCATTCGCCTAACAATTTCTAGTTTCCAGTGCAAGCGATCCACCTGGGGAGCAGAAACAACAGATATCGTACCGCATATTATAGATATAGGTTGAGATAATAACAACAATATGTTTCTGTCATACGCCACCGTGCCCATGTTCGCTTTCATGATACTGTTGAATTTCTTCTCCTTGTACTCGCCCATCGAGTCGGCGGCGAAGAACGGAAAGTACTACCATACGTGCCAGGATTGTCTGGATGACACTTGCCACAGTCAATTTAATAGGCCGTGCATTTTCAGAAACAAAGCATTCTATTGTGTCACTTGTAATTCCGTACATGGCAACCAACAGTACTACTCCGAAATCGAATGCGTACTCGATTGCATGGACCCGGGGAAGTCGTGCGTTTGTAACGACGAGTGTTACGTGTGCGTCCCAAACGGGGCCATGAGTTATTCAGGGACTTGCGAAGATCCAACCACTGAAGAACTGAACCAGTGCACCTAAGATGGAAGGAAGTTCCGTACGCCACCACCGACCTGCCGCCGTGAGATTATATTTAAAATAATATTATGGTACTTAATCAACATATTTTCAATTATGATTTTTGTTCTTAAAAAATAATACCCCATTACATAATAATATTATACACCTTAGTTTTAATTTACGCATCCAACCACCACCGTGAAGAATTTAATATTGTTTTAACTGTTTTACTTCCCATTATATTTTTGTACAATAGGTATTGCCTATGGTCTATGAGCCTCCCCTGACGGGCTGCAGCGAACCGTCGTCTTGCATAATTTTATTATTTGGCCGCAGCTGCTGTAGTTCGTAAGCTATTTTTAAAACTTTTCTCCCGATTGGTAATATTATAAATTTATATAGGTATTTAATATTTAAATATTATTTATTAAATATTAATATTTAAATTTATATAGGTAAAATGTGTTCGCCTTTGTGAAAAGAAATAATGCTCTAAACTATATTATTGTTATTCCATATTCATTACGATTTTATTTATTATATCATTTGTATAATCGATTTTATTATAAATAACTTATACTTAAGGTGATAAATGTTTTTGATATTATATTATGTAATCCGTGCACCTGAATAATTCAATGTATCTTTTATTTCATCAATATTAAACTATTACTCCATGTCTCCGTCACGTATAATATACTTTGTGCTTTGTTATTTTATTTTTCAGAAACTGACCCTACTGTATTTGAATGTTGTAAACCTGCATCTGGTCTCAAACAAAAATTGATTATTACAAAAATATTATTTGCTTGTAATATTTACATTGTGATTCGTCAAGCATTTTTTTGGAATTGAACTAGAAATGATTTGAAAAGTGTAATATTTTTTGCACTGGGGCATAAAAATCCAAATTCCTGCGTTACCTACTAACAAGTGACAATGTTCTCCCAAAACATACATCTCCCAAAACCACCCAACTTGGTGGAGCTATAGATATCTCATCAAAAGATTAACGAAAAATGAAAATTTGAATTGGATAATTATTCGTCAAAGAAAAAGTCTTATTTGTTTATAAAACTTTTAGTATAAAGGTTTTCATTTGAAAATTAATAGTTTATAGTAGTATGCCTTATAAAAATAAGGGTGAA